ACTCTTCTTCGACTCCATCTTACATTGCCATTCTTGCCATAATTGTTAAAATTCTTGCCATAATTACAACTCTGTCTACGATATGCGTAACATTCGAAAAAATTCTACATTGCTACACTGGGATAGGGTATTAGCCAGGAGGCCGAAGTCAAATGAACTTTTGTTCAAGGAGGACAGCTGCGGATAATCATCGCCAGCCATGTGAAGTAGACAAAGCTATGAGGGGCACTAAAGAGTGAAAATGGTTAAGATCGTTCTTGAAAGGTTGGCACAGTGTTGTAAAAATGATAGTGCGAAAATGATAGTAAATAAATAGTTATCATGGATAGTAAACAAATGGTGGCTGAGGTCTGTGAGAAGGATATGCAAGCATTCGTTGTTTGTTAAGGTAAATGTTTAATTGACGAGGAAATTGTGTAAAAACACAGAAATCTATATATAAATTAGAAAACAAATGGACTTAGAATTTAAAACAAACTTAGAATTTAAAAAACAACTTGTCCATCTTCCGAGAGCCTACATTTCCTTCCTCGGTTCCTATGAACTCTGAATAGTACTCAACTGACTATAGCTACGCGATAAAAAGGAATTGTTTGACATCATTAAAGCGAAAGGGATCAGGACCATTGAATAGACCAAAAGAGGACTTTGTATACCCTTATACACTTCTGATGAGACAATCACTAATGGAGGTTCTGGAGTATTTGTGAGCACCCCAGGTGATACTACTTATCAACACAAAACTGGCGCTGTAACCTTATCTCTAACTTCACTTGTGAGCTTCTGGCAATACCTTCTAGCAAGGCTTAATGAAGGTACTTGACATGTATAGAGCCCTTCCCATTTCTGAGCAAGTTATAGGATTTGTTGTCTTCCGTGACTTAAATGTAGCTCTGCAGGTAATCCCGAAGGGAAGAAGAAGAAGAAGATTAAGGCATTCCCCGTATCGAGAACTCAATCTCATTCCGGGTCCACTCTCCCCCTTTGGGCACGTCGTGGTGGTTCAACCTCCACTATTACCCTCCAGGAGAGCAGCGCACCACCTGGGGACGCACCCCAGGCAGCACCGGTCGTCTAATGCTCCTACCAGTCGCTTGGGCGAGCCCGTCGCAGCGGGACATTACCCAGCGACCCCGGGGAAGAACCCCGGGTTACTAGTACCACGCCGTGCTAGGACGTGCCAGACTCCGGGGCCGGCCAATAAGTGACCTTTCCCAGAGCCTTCAGAACCACCAAATTCATAAATTTTATACCCCCGTGGCCGAGACTGCCTAGGTACAGATCCTAGCCAGTAGCTTCGCAGAGTTCTCTACGTCGACCCCGGGGGGATCCCGGAGGGAAGCTTCCTGATCACTAACTGGATCCCTTTTCGCCTCAACGTTCTTCAAAAATTAAATAAAGTCTACATTCTTCAATGGTTGCTAGCGCACGTCAACATCACAGGTAACGAGAGGGCAGATAAACTAGCAAAATACACTCGTCAATATATTAACGTAACAATATAATGTAAATGTAAATGTCATACTCTCGGACGCAAATGTCATAGCCAAATACACACTGAAGGAATAGTCAATTCTAATAAAGCACCAGCTCCATAACACCAATGGAGAGTATAATTAAGACATATAATACGAATATAATTAAAGACTTATATAATTGACACATAATTGTCAAATAATTAAATCAAAATTTCGGTAGTTAACAGTTTAACAGGACGGAAATACATTGGATTCGAGGAAAAAGAAAACAATGCATTAATGTCACACAATAAAAATAATGTAATAAAATAATACAAAAATAAAGAATTGAAATTTCTTTGGTCTTTTTCAAAGAGCAGCTAAGGATTTTCAACAGAGCGGCGTTTTGGTGTTGGTGTATTTAATTATGGCAAAGCACACGAGGGCTATCTGCCTAAGGGGAGAGATGCCTTTCGTGGAGGACTTCTAAGGGAAACTGGCTCGTATACACGTTACACATGGGCAAAACCACGAAAACGCCCATGCAGCCAGCCCGTTCGCGGGATTCGAACCTCGGACCGAACTACCAGTGTTCAGCGACTTTACCGCTCGGCCGCTGGTGTGCCCGCGTTTTGGAATTATATCTGGATGATTATTAATCTTAAATCATGCCGAAAATTATTATATTAATAAAAAATTTAAGGCCATAAAAGTTTTTAAATAATAGAAACAAAGAATGGAATAAAATAAAGCATAAAATTTCTTTCAATCTTTTTAATAAATAATCAAGATTTAATTTGCTACCAAGCGAATCAAAAATATTATACAAAATATAAATAGTACAGAACAACAATTCTCGAAGTAAACAAACAATCGATGAAATTCGATGCTGCAAGCTAAATCAATGTTTTTTAAAACTGCAGAAAAGCTATTACAAAATATGCAATTTTGTGAAACGTTGAGGAACAACTTAATATTAATAATTAAATTATTTGCATCTATTAGGATATTATAAATTTGATCAACATGTAAGCGGTACACACACACACACGCACTTACAAAAAAGAAAACAAAAATTGTAAAGGATTGTGTTTCGGGAAGTCACACTAAACATATTAATTGGAAAATCGATGTAAATTAATTGAAAAGCATTTAAATGCCTGTATTTGTCAAGACAGTGTTCTTTTGGCGACTTTTTCCGAAATTTTAAAATACTGTAAAATTTTGTTAATCGTTTGTTTAAGCGATCAAAAGATTCATATATATTAATTTTTCTGGTATTTAGCAGCTAATTCTACCTGTTATTGATCATTTTGAACGTACGGAATCAGCTAAATTTTTCTGAAGACAGAGGTTTGGAGGCATTCCTTATTTTGAAATATGACAAGGAGTAATCAAACGTAAAAGAAAATTTGCTCTTTGTTATTATGAAGAATTTACCAGAAAGCAACTGACAAATCTTATTAACAAAAAAGCTAATTAAAATTCATTTCGATGGAAGACACAAAAGTCCTATGGCATTGAAGAACTAACTTCCGAAACACCTCTATAAAAAAAAAAAAAAAAAAAAAAAAAACCCACTTCTAAGAATTTTGCTTATATAAACTGCATTACCACTTTCAGAAAAACTTTTACACAGGCTTACGTCCTTTTACATCTACAGGATGATTCAGAAAACCTTTTACCATATGACATGGTAAATCAGGCATACAACAAGGATAAAAAATCACATAGGAACATAGAGTCGCTAAAGCTATTCAGAGCCACAAGAAGGCGTTCAAAATAGTATGTAATTAAAGACAAAAAACAAAACCATTCCAGATCATTTATTTATATTAGTGACATGCTACAAATCACATCCCTACAGGTGAGGGCCAAATTTTTTCCGGCTGCATCGAGATACACTTGACATCGAAGCTACACTGAACGGCGCATTTTCTCAAAAATACCAGGTGTATCTCAAACACATCCTGCTGCCACAACAATTCTTCCTACTAAGTCTTCCAGCGATGAAACAGGTGTTTCATATACAAGTCCTTTTAAAAACCCCAAATCATAGAAGAGAAAACCATTTGGAGACTGATCTGGTGATTGTGGTGGACATACGATTGGTTCACTGCCAGCAATCCAACGCCCAGGAAAAGTGGACTATAGACGTGTTCTGACCTGTCTGCTGAAATGTGCAGGAGCTCCGTCGTGCTGAGCTCGAATTCTTCGAGGAATTGGCATAAGAACATCATTCAGCATGTCTGGAAAGAACCTCTTGCAAGAATGCAGCTATTAAGTCTTTCTGGGAGAATGTGGTTTCTGGGAGACACAGTCTCCTACAATGCCAGCCCACACTTTGAGAGTAAATTTGCGATGAAAGGCACGCGTACTTGTAGCATGTGGGTTTTCATCCACCCTAGTATGCATGTTGGGAACCTTCATCACACCCTCTAGTGAAGACGTTGTCTTCTCAGTAAAGAGAATGCTTGAAGTTTCGGTCGGCAGCATTTCCTTGCAAAATCCACCGCCCAAATTCCACGCGCATTTTGTAGTCTTCCGGTTCCAATGCCTAGGATGCAATCTTTCGTCATGTAAAAGGAGCCAGACTGTAGATTGGGGGGGGATATGGATGTCTCGGGACACAACTCCGTATATTGAAGGATTAGGCTACAGTTCTTTTCGGAAAAAAGTCCGAGCTGTTCGATGGCAACCGGCATCCGGCTTGTGCACGTCGAACGAACTGGTTTCGCACAATCATCGATGCGAGGTCGCAAAAGCATCTTTCGATCAGATATTTCTCACGATACATTCGCATGGCTTCTCGTCCATTGAAGTTGGCCAAGCCCCTAAATCAAATGCATGTCGGTTATTTCGTGGTACGTGTAACTAGCCATGTTACTCCTAACGTATCCAAGGCTTAATGAAGACAATGTCCATTTGCTCAGCTCATGCTCGTATAGCAACGCCTTTTCGTGGCTCTAGTGCTCTCTAGCGAGTTTTGCAACCCTATGTTCCTATGTGATTTTCGATACTTATGCCTGATTTCCCATGTCCTTTGGTAAACGTTTTCTTTTAATTATTCTGTATAGTCGTAGCAGAACACGGACAGTCGATCCAGTCTGGTCGGAAGTAGAAATCGATTGGTTGAGGAAGCTACTGTATCATACTCTAACTTGCTTTCGATTGGCACTGCATATTGGAATTGGTTCGGGCATTTGAACTGGTTCGGGGAAGCTATCTTTTACCATACGTTACCTACTGCAAATGACGTCATTAACCTTGAAAAGTTTTTATCAGACTTAAAAAACGGAGTCACAACACTACTTCCTACGGAAAATTTCTTAGAAGCTGGTTTACTGTAATATGCTGCAGGTACATTCACTGATCTTACCTACATGCAGCGCAGCGATGAAAGCAATACTTTCCCTTTAGGCGTAAAATGTTGCGAATTGTCTTTTAAATTGGTTTTGGAAGAAAAGGTGCGTAGAAACTATTTATTTTGTTGCATTTGCTAAAGTAATATGCGCTAAAGGCTTTAATAGTTTTAAAATTTACCTTCACATCCGAAGTCTTTGGGATCGGCATTCCTTCGCAGAGGTCGGAAACCTTCTTTGCAAACACATTTGTAGCCTTCATCTGTGTTCACACATACCGTTGAATTAGGGCACTTATTCTCATCTTCGCATTGCAAAACTCCTGCGCAGTGTTATATAAATATTTCATTAACTTTCCATCAGTATTTCATTTCAAGTATATACAGCAAGAAAAACTTCCAAATTTTAAGAGAGAATAATAACGTGAAAATTCGCAAAATCATACTTCCGGAAGTGGGGAATTTGTTTGAGGAAATGCTGGTAAACGAATCTTTCATATGAACTTTATTCTCGTAGTAGGCCGATTCTAACCATGTGATAAGGAGGGTGAACATCGCTTAGAGATGTCCAGGGAATTAATCTCTGTTGGATGCTTCAAGTTGGTGGCTTAAGCAGTAAGATTCTTGTGTATTTAAATATTAAGTAAGTTATTAAGTTAAATTATTAAGTAACTTGCGTATTTAAATAGGATTATGGCTTATAAGTGTAAAGTCACTGAAAGCCCGGCATTCCTTTCCAGCCTTTCGTAAGTAGATGTATTTGCTGTAAACTGCTTGCAGCTTGCTTTCAACTTGCACAGCTGATAACCATAGCTCCGTTACAACGTATTACTGTTTTACCTGTCGGGAGTAAAAATGAACGGCAGATGACAGATTTGTTAGTTTTCTTTGAACACAAATCCCTCTGAAATTTGGTTACAGATAGAAAAATCGCGGCAAAATCATCGTAACAAAGCGTTGCGGAGAAAACAACGAAAGGCCAAAATGCCGTGGTACAAAACATTGTGGGAGAAAAGAAAGCAAAGAGAAAAAACATCGCAGTTCTAAAACATCGTGGTACAAAATATCGAAGTCGAAAATAAAGCGGTTAAAAAATTTCGCAGTTTAGAAACGTCGTCGTCGAAAATATCGTGGTAAAAAATAGAGATCCCACAAATCATTGCATGAGTATGATATATCACACATGCGCTTTTTAGGCTTAACAGTTGTAAACGCACATTTGTATAAAGATTTTGAAGCTCAAAAAATGTTGACGACACTTTAAGAATAAACGGGTACAAATCAAGATAAAATTTCTACCAAAAAAATATCAGATTAGTAAATGTGAAAGAAAATAATCTCATAATTAACTAAGCAATTTTTATAGAGGTAACCTCATGCAGTTATTTTTCTACCTTTTTCTAAGCATTTTTAGGCTGTATTTGTCATGCAAAATTATGAGTAAAACTTTATAATAAAGATTAATTTATTAATGACCTTTGTTATCTAACTATATAAATTTAAAATTATTGAGTTCTATAAGTTGCATTAATTTTCTACTCATTTTCAATTTTTAAATGAATAATTTTCCTTCTTACATTTTCAGAAAAAAATCATCAGTTCATTCAAAGATATGAAATATAAAAGTAAAATATCCCTCTTTGCTTCTTGCGTTCCCAAATCATTATGCGAAAACGGATTTACATCTTTTAAAACCTAAAAAAAGCATGTGGGCGATGTTATCGTCATGCGATGAATTTTGGTTGTTTCATACAACGATATTTTCGACAACGATGTTTTTAAACTGCGAAAGTTTTGAAACGCTTTATTTTCGACGACGATATTTTGTACCACGATGTTTCCGCCTTTCGTTGTTTTCTCCACGACGTTTTCGTTAGCGATGTTTTCGCCGCGATATTTTGGGCCGATACCTGAAACCTTTACTAAAAAAAGCAGTAGAGTTTGAATGACGTTATATCCGAAGGCAGTATGAAGCACTTTTCTGAAGTTTTTCTTGTTCATTAACTTACTGAAGAATTAGCACATCAATTTCCTTTTGCCTATTGTTGGGAAATTTGCATTCCTTCTTTGCGGCTGCGTTGAGCCCAGAAAGCTAAAATATACACTGAAGTGACAAAAGTCATGGGATAGCTCATAATATTTTGTCGGTCCTTTTTTTTGCCCGTCGAAGTGCAGCAACTCGACGTGGCATGGACTCAACAAGTCGTTGGAAGTCCCCTGCAGGAATATTGAGCCATGCGGCCTCTATAGACGTCCATAATTGTGAAAGTGTTGACGGTGCAGGGTTTTGGGCACGAACTGACCTCTCGATGATGTTCCATAAATGTTCGATGGGATTCATGTCGGGCGACCTAGGTGGCTAGATCATTCGCTGGAATTGTCCAGAATGTTCTTCTAACCAATCGCGAACAATTGTGGCCCAGTGACATGGCGCATTGTCATCCATAAAAATCCCATCGTTGTTTGAGTACGTGAAGTCTATGAATGGATGTAAGTGATCTCCAAGTAGCTGAAGGTATCCATTTCCAGTCAATGATCGGTTCAGTTGCACCAGAGGACCGAGTCCATGCCATGTAAAAACAGCCCAGACCATTATGGAACCACCACCAGCTTGAACAGTGCCTCGTTGACAACTTGGGTCCATGGCTTCGTGGGGTCTGCGCCACACTCGAACCCTACCATCAGCTCTTACCAACTGAAATCGTGACTCATTTGACCAAGCCACGGTTTTCCATTCGTTTAGGGACCAACCGATATGCTCACGAACCCACGAGAGTCGCTGCAGGCGATGTCGTGCTGTCAATAAGGCACTCGAATCGGTCTTCTGCTGGCATAGCCCAAGGAAGACAAATTTCGCCGCACTGTCCTATCGGACACGTCCCTCTACGTCCCACATTGATTTCTTCAGTTATTTGACGCAGTGTTGCTTGTCTGTGAACATTGACAACTCTGCGCAGACGTCGCTGGTCTCGGTCGTTAAGTGCAAGTGGTCTGCCACTGCGCTGTCCATGGTGGAATGTTATGCCTGAAATTAGATACTCTCGGCACACTCTTGACACTGTGGATCTCGGAATGTTGAACTCCCTAACGATATCCGAAATGGAAACACTCATGCGTCTAGCTCCAACTACCATTCCGCGTTCAAAGTCTGTTAATTCTCGTCGTGCGGTCATAATCACGTCATAGCCTCTTCACATGAATAACGTGAACACAAATGAAAGCCCTGCCAAAGCACTTCGCATTTATACATTTTCTACGCGATACTACTGCCATCTGTATATTTGCATATTGCTATCCCATGACTTTTGTCACTTCAGTGTATAACCTCGAGGTAGAATTTTGATGGAGCTGAAAACTGTGTACACTCCTGGGTTACCTGTATTGACATGGTCAACAGCCCTGAATCATTCCAGCGTGATGTGGAGATTTCGAGGCATGGAAACCTGCAGTTATCACGTAAGCGTTTCAAAGCATAGCGATTTTTCGAAATAGCTTTGGCCCATGTATGGATATAGTCAGCTACCTACCTTGTTGTCTAAGATGCTGTTTAGCAGTCTCTCTGCAAACGAACGCATAGTGTCTGGATTTCCTGCCATCCCACATGAGCACTGGTTGTTTTCGCGTCATCTGAAACGATGCAGATAAGTCATGAAAAGGTCACACCCTGTTAGAAACTGTATAAAGTGAGGCGAACCAGTTCTTAAAAGTCGACAGACTTTTCGGGAAACTCTGTAGACTTTTCTGCCAGTAGTCTGTGTCTCCCACATATGTTGCGAACACTGTAGAATATAGCTGTGGAAGATAGATTGTAACAGGAATTTAACACAGTATGCCAGATAAATTATACGCCTCCAGTTACCTGCCTAACTGAATGAACTATCAAATAGTCCCGACTCATAATGTAACAGTCAAGTACACTCATCTGTTATTCATCATATGGTTTGACTAACGTGTCATAGTCTGACATGATATGTTCTTCTGTTTTGTTAAACTCAAGGAATTCGCCAACCATTAAATCTTAGGTTTTCAACTTATAGGAAGTGTACTTACTCCTTTAGTAGGGAACCATGTTTTACAGTAATGCGTATCACTCTCTAGGACCTTCAAAATTCCAAACAGCATCTAGCAAAGGAGAATATCTTTGACGTATGAAGGGCATTCATACGTCAAAGTCATCTTAAGCGTATGAAGAGCATTCAATTTTAATTTAAGTTTTACTAAAAACCGATATAACGATTTGATATTTAAAAAAAATCTTTTCTTAGTTTATTAAACAAAAAAAGTAGACTGTACTATTCTAAACCATAGCCGCAGTCTTTTTAAAAGTGGTGTCTTAGAACAATAAAATGTCATAGCGTTGAAAACACAAGCAACTGAGAAATTATGTTCAGAAGCTGAAAATTATTTTAATTAATAATATAATTAAATTTATTATAATTTTATTTGGGTTTCAAATTAAATTTTTATAAAGAAATGCACCCCAGTTTATATTTGACGAATTCACGTATTATTTTATCGAACCCACTTAATGAATTGCAATGATAATTTTGTAATGAGTATTAATAAAAATTAATGGCATTCATTTCCAATACCAAAACACTGATAAGTGCTGTAACAGCATTGTATGAGATTTTATTGACTTAATAACAGAATATGGAAGTTTTCAGAAGACAGTGCGTAATTCCTTCTTTCCTGTCACTGATTCGAATTCTTTCATATAGGAGATGTTTGTGTTGCATTGATGTATGTTACCATTCTGTGGAAGATTTAAAAGGAGGTAAAAAGCAGGACGTCTACAAAAATTAACTAGATTTGTTCAAAATATTAGTCATTTATATAAATATTGATGTTACTCGATTGTAGTCTGGATTTCATGCATTTCTTCAGAATTATGGTTTTATTTATTCATTTACACTTTTTTAATTGTATTTATTTACATACGTAGTGCATTTTATAAAATAATTTTATTGCTAAAATTTTGTGGCTACTTACTGCTTTTATTTCTGCACACTGTACATATTTCTTTACTGTGTTATACATCTCTTGATTCTGAGTCAAATGAAGTTTGAATTGTAAACACAGCTCACTTAGAACACCAGATATATGGGCAAACATCTCCTGAAAGGCCTTGGTGTTATTTAGAGATTTTTTGTCAAATCTGTGACATTCGAAACATTATCACAACAATTTAGTTCTTCCCATTGTCCCTTTCATCCGAGCATTTGCTGGGGATATCGTATTTCCCCAACCACTGGATGTGTTCGCTGGATTTTCGTCTCTTAGCCGGATAACGGACATTAGTCGGATAACGGACTCTTAGTCGGATAACGGTCTTGCGTGCACGTTAAGATTCTGCGGTGGGCCACACGAAGATCAAAAATGCATTTGTGCGTTTCACATTCGTCACGTTGTTCCGAGGTATGAGACGATGGGCTCTGACATTCCAGAAGAAATAATTCATTGCGTTAAGGCTTCCCTTGACATAACAAGAATCATAATTTTACAGCCAGTGTCAAGGGATTTTAGCGGTCTGCACACATAAAGTCTTTATGTGTGGACTTTCGATTAACTATGTAACTAAAGCCTTTCGATTTTAGGGAAGTTGACGAATCAATGATCCTGCTGTTCCTATGATACAGTTTCAATTATGATTTAAGTACAAAGGAATCAAAAATAAAATCGAAAAAACTGAAGGAAGTGACTAATTCAGTATATTTTAGACAAGGAAAGAACTCAGAATACTCTTGCCGCTAGTAACATCTTCACATAAGGGTCAGTAACCTACAATAATTGTTTCCATGCCTTCAGTGTTGCTACGTATTATTAATGAAATTTCTCATAGACTTATATTAAATGTACTTTAGTTCTATATGCACGAAGTAGTACGCAACCCTAAAAGACGTAACCAACACCAGTTATCACATGGAATCGAGCCATCAGTGTAGCATACCAACATTACCCTAACTCAAAACCAAATCCAAACCTGTGGAACAATATTTTTCTTTATGCAGACTATGAAACGGAATGCACCGTTATTGTTATGTCACCCGGCGGAATTCAGAATTCCAGCAGAACTGAGAACACTGTCTTTCCTAGAGTTACGTACATTGATGGCTCGAAGGGGAGAAGATTATAGGCTATAGCGTTCGCAACATATGTGAGAGACAGAGACTACTGGCAGAAGAGTCTACAGAATTTTCCGAAAAGTCTGTCGACTTTTAAGAAGTGATTCTCCTCATTTTACAGAGTTTCTAACAGGGCGTGGCCCTTTCATGACTTACCTGCATCGCGTCAGACGACGCGAAAACGACCAGTACTGATGCGGGATATCCGGACACTATGTGTCCGCTTTCAGAAAGACTGCAGAACATCACCTTAGACAGCCAATAAAGGACCATATCCATGCGTGGGCCGAAGTTATTTCAAAAAATCGCTATGCTTTGAAACGCTTACGTGATTGTACGTAATATCTCAGTCAGGATGGAATAATTTTCAGCTGCTATTCTCATCACCAGCACAGTCCCCGTATATTCTGTACTTGTAGTAATTTATTTTAAGTTAGCTTTTTCTGTTCTTTTCTGTTTATACTTATTGCCTTGAATTATGTATTTTGCGTTAATTAATGTATTATTTTTACTTTTTAATCAGCCACTCAGTTAATTGTTCAGATTCATAATCAATGCACTATTCAGCTAATTACAACTCAGTTATACCTGTATTTTTACTATCCACAGTACTCATTTATTGTTCACGTTGTGGATGTTTATTGGCAGCACTTAAGTTGTAACCATCTATAACTCTGTAAATGTGAAACTGAAACTGCTCTCCTTACCCACATTGTACCCTCCTGCCATCACTACACCATTGACTCTCCCAGCATTTGTTTGCATCCCCCAGCAGTCGTCTTGAGCACAATATGCACCAAAGTGTGTTATGCGGACCAAGTTATTTCCGTCAGCGGAGCTAGCTGGTCGATATAGTAAGCAAAAACCCAGTGAATCGGCTGCCTCGCTGTCGGTGGAAAGAAAGAAAAGGCTATAGCTTCTTTGTGATGCGAGGAACTAATACAATAATTTCTTATGTAATGACGTTTGATCCCAATAAATCCATCTTTCAGACAGGACTGGTTGCGCTGTAAGCGACTGTACAGTGTCGGGACTGTGATCATTCTTTTTCGATCAGTACTTAGCCGGCATCAAGCTTGGATGCAATTAGTGATTATACTCTAGAAAGAACACTGTCAAAGAAATCTAAAATCTACTACTCTCTCTCCCACGCAACATTATAAGCTATTTAACTCCTCCTTCCCGCATGCCTTCGGGGTGTAATTGGAAGCATACTAGCAGCGTTATCTAGAGGTCCAGGGCTGAAGTCTTGGCAAGGGCATTGCTCATTTTTCACTTCGCCTGCTTTAGCAAAAAAAAAAAAAATAAAAAAATAAAAAACCTAATGACTTTACAAGAGGCGCCCGAGCTGAAAAGATGATGGCCGATAATTCATCACTACTAGGATTTGGCGAATATGGTCCCTTTATTCCCAGTCATCATTTAAAAATAGTTGATTATATAAAGAATGTCCTCCCTCCTTTCGGCGTGGTGTAATTGCAAACACACTCGACACGCATTTGAGACGTCCAGGTTTTGAGTCGCGGCGCGTGCATTGCAGAATTTTACCGACTCCTGCATCAAAATAACCTAATCACTCTACAATATCGACAGGAAATTTTAGTGCTGTCGCGCATTCGCTGAAATCTTTGGCAACTAAAAAGGGGTCGAAAATGGCTCACATAGATCTCAACAGAAGAACGATATATATATGTATCAAAAATCAATGAATGATATATATATGTATATCATTAATTTAGTTTTCAGCTATGCAATTCTTCATTAAAACAGGTTTAGCAGCAATTTCGGCCAGTATAATTAGAATTAATACCTCTTGAACTATTAACGGATTTCCCTAGTTCCTGTTAGGCACTGTTTGGAAGTCTTTATGTGTGGACTAAAGCCGTGAGAGACTATGTTTATCTTATGACTGGCAAAAGACGTCCTCTACAGGCAATGCAAACAAGTTCTTTGATTATAAATAAATATATGAATGTGTACTTTACAGAATTAAAGAATAGATAGTGTTTAAATTAACACTGGTTCCCTTTCTCGAACAGCGGTTGATTGAGGATGGATATGCATACACACATTAAGTTTTCAGAAAAGAAAGCATTATGAAATGCTTATATTTCATTTAATTCTCAAGTAACTCTTTATCACCAACAATTAATCGAATCATATGATATTTAGTAATAATCATTCAGTTTCAATGGTGGTTGGATCTTCTCTCTGAGCCGTCTAACGCTAATATCATTTCGACTCCTCTGATCATGAAATGTTTCCTCGCATTTCTGTATATTATCGGCCTTTGATTGGAAAAGAGGTGTGGTTGTTGTAGGCTGAAGAATAAAGAAAAGAAAGCATTGACTTCGCTTATAACAACCAAGAAGCGATAGTTCGATTTTGACAGGTAAGAGGTGTGTAATTTTCTTGCTGGTAAGGAATGGGAATTTTTGATTTGAACAAATCACTGGAAGAAACATTTTTATTTGCAGTGCAGGTGACATGTCGAAAATATCTGAATGAAATGATTTAAGCCTGAGAGAAAAGAGTAAATTACTGAAAGATAATAAATGGTCTGGGAAATGCAGCCGAGAATTTTAGTTAGTTTTATCAGAATGTTGTTTCATCCAGGTTTACTTTCAGTTGTTTCACCTCTTTCAATCAATTTTGCTTACTAAATCTGAGCATTATTAAGTGACAATGGTTTTTAATTGTTTGATTGGTGTACATTTTGAGTAGCTTTAACGAATTCGAACTCTAATTCTGGATTCGAACAAATGAACGAACGAATTCCACGAATTCGGACAAATCGCTCTGGATTTAACCTTTTTAAAAGTATTTCAGAGGTATTTTTTCTTTAAGAATTTGAAGGCGTATATTTTATTCAAAATAGTTATGACGTGGAGATAAAAGGTTTTACTGGTACGTGAATCATTTTTCTGTAGGTATTGTTAGACTGGAAATAAACGAGTTTTTATCAGGAAAATGCTCTCATCATTGTCACAAAAACTTCGGTTTTCATATATCGCGAAGAGAGATCCTGTTTATGACATTTTTTAGTTAAAAGTAATTATAAAAGAATTATTTCTAAAAGAAAGCCGAGAAATAAACTCTTAAAATTTTGTATTACGGAATGCGTAATAGCTCATAAAACAGTTTTACTTACTTAAATCTACTAAAATCGAAATTTCTTACTTGAACACCATTCATCTTTGTCCTGTCTGTATCCTTTAGGACAAAAACATTTTTTCTGAACATCATTTCCCCACTCTTCGAAGATGCAAGATGTTCCTCCGCCGCACCGACAAGCTGTAAAAAATTAAAGAATGAAAATAAGAGTGAATTTTTAACAATAAGGTTAAATTTTCGTAAAGCTTCAAGCTATCTGATCAAACAGCCAGGATTCCGCATCAAAACATGCAAGATAATGCAGAAACTGGTGGAATTGGGAACAGATTTGTGTAGTGTGGAATAGTTCCCTGTAAATCTCTCTTCTCTCTCTTCTTCTTCTTCTTTTTTTATTAACTGTATATATTATGAAATATGTATGTATTATGGCCAATGAAAATTATTAAGAACTACGTATGTATTATGTAACAGGCTCAATATATTATGAACTATGTAAGCAAGTATAAACTATATAAGCAACTATGAACTATGTAAGCATGTATATGTATGAACTATGTAAGCACGTATTGTGAAAGATCTATGTATTATGAACTACTTGTATATAAGCATGTACTGTGAAACCATAAGCATATATTATGAACTATGTAAGCATGTATACAGGATCAATGTATGCCCTTATAGGGCCCATGAAGTGTTACCCCGGATAGTTGCAGAACCTGGACTAGACCCGAATAGTCTAAGTAAGCCACACGGGTGTCCAGATTCTGCTCTCAACTGTCAACTGTCTTTCGTAGACAAGAAGCAGCCTGCAACTTGTGAGAGTAGACGTTTCTTGCGGAACGCTCCTCGAAAATCCGTTGCCATCCGCGGTATTTCTGCAGCAAGAACAAATATTTTTATTTGTGTGTGTTCGTGATACTCTAAAGATTACGCCAATACCAGAATTTATTGGATATTTCAATTTTTAAGTATTATACGAGTGTTTTAGTGAGAATTGAAAATTCCGCAAAGTTTGAGTCTTGTGTGCACCTTGACGTCATGCCATCGACGGAAGACCTGCGACCCGCTGCCCTGCTAGGATTAAGTTCTCAGACCGGATTACCGCAAGTGCCAAAAATGGATTGAAAGTGTAAAAATCATTATCTCAGCTTCCTGTAATCACAAAGTCTCCATCTGCGAAAGTACAAGGTAAGATTCTGATTACCTATCCATAGCAATACAGTTTTAATGTCTAAAATAATGTTTTCTAGTTCTATTTTTCGGACTTCGATTTTTTTCCGCAAATTAAGCTCCCGGTATGGCCATGTGTGGCTCGAGGGAGTTGTTGCATCTGGATAGTGGAGGGCATGGGACATATGCCTGCTTACCCTTGTTAAACACCAGACGTCCGTCATCTGTCTTTCGTAGATTTGACGCCTCGCTTCTCGAGTACAAAAAGTTCTCGCGTTGTAAAGTTACGGATTCCGGACGATAGTAAGCCGGGGGGACGTCCGGACCCCCTGTCACCTGTCACCTGGCTTTCGCACACTGCGAAATAGTAAAATTTCTAAATAATGTTGTTACAGAAATTAAGAACAGTATCACTAGTAATAGGTGTCTGAAGAAAATTTTGCGATCACAATTGCATAAAAGAGGGAATAAAGTGCTTTAATCTGACGCTTTAGTAAGATCTCTACTTAATTGTTATAAAACTTGGATCTTAATAAAAGTATAAGAAACTCGTTTTTGGAAGGAAAGTCCTAAGAATTTGTAAATATATGTGAGGGCTCTCTATCTAATAGAAGAGGTAGATTGCTGGAGTTCATTTCTGAAGGAAACTAGTTTATATTTATGTTACACATGGGAAAAGCAACGAAAACCATCTGTGCAACCAGGCTGCTCGCCGGATTTAAACTCAGTAGAACTACAACTGTTCAATGATTTTACTTCTCAGCGGTTGGAGGGCGGATTGTACTAAAAAATGTTTTTGTTGATATAAATATGCACGGCATCCGTATAGAGTTATAATATATAGTTATGTTATCTAATATATTAGAATTAACAGCATCAAATTCTCTGATCAACTATAAATCATCTAGTTAACAATTTATTAACTACAAGCAGCATTGCAGCTGATACTAATAAAAAATCGGCTATAAATAACACTAATTGCTAGTCAACTATTCATCAACTGTAAGTAACATTAGTAACAGAAAATATTGCTGCTCGGGCGGCATATTTCACAAGTGCACATCAGCGTAGCCACTGAGGGAGGGGTTTGGAAAATGGACCAATGAGCTGCTATTGCTCTTGATGACGCTAAATCTTCGTGCACGTGAGCGTATGTTGTTTACGTCTTAATTTGAATTTTCTTCGCAGTTATAAATATATGACGTAATGGTAGAAATCTTGTGCTTTCGTTTTCTGAGTTTAATTAATCTCTGACATTTCACTTTCGTGATTTTTATGACGCAATAATGTTTGGATTGATGTTCACGGCATGTTATGTGGATTAAGAGAATTGAAGTGTATATTATTTTAATTGAGCTGAGAATGACTGAAAGTGTTACAATGAATCTAGCGTTTTCTTATTTCAGTACTTGCATTCTTTTGATTTTAAAAGTGCAAGATTCAGAATATATATCTGATTATATTCATTGCTAATATTAAAAATTATATGTGAATAAATTGAATATATTCGTTGTCAATAAGATAAATTGACTCTGTTTGATTAGTATTTCTTGTGTAGACAGTACATTTAAGAGTGAGCTGTTATTAAATGTGAAATTTAACACACTAAATGTATAGGAATGAAAATTAGTAAAGTTTACTTTGAATAAAATTGTGCATTGGTTATTATTATAGAACATTTTTTTCATATAGACTGCAATAAAAAGTGCTGACTTCTATTTACACATATAATTGGTGTAAATATTTTTCTCATAGGCATAGTTTTATGTAAAGATTGCATTTGGGCTCAGATGTTTATCACATATTTCTTTCTTCATCTATTTACCACTTATTAAGTAATATTTCACATCAAAATTTTTGCGAAGTATCCAACGTGTGTTTGTATTTATTTCGACCCGGTAGTGAAATCTTCATAATTTCCTATATTTGATCTAACTTTGCAATGAAAAGTTTCAGAAGCAATCGACGATGCTTTAATTATTTTGTACAGAAAATTGCGTGGCAGAGTATTTTCAAGCATCTTGCTTAAATCTTAAAACACGCGAAAGGTCATGTGACGTGACAGAAATATTACTGGATGCTCATTGGTCCATCCTAGAAGCCCCCTCGGTGGCTACACAGATGTGCACTTGTGAAATATGCGCTCGGGCGTAAAGTTCTCAGCTTAGTGGGAATGATATCACAAAGGACAGTTCTATGGTTAAGTCAAGTAAGTCTGCGGTTCCCTCAAGTGAAAAACAGTCAAAGTGAATGACCACTGTCACATGAATTCAAGATTTGGAGCTTGAAATATCCAGAGAAATTATCCAGAGCTTGAAATATCCAGAGTGGGTATTAAAAATGTTTTCCAATATCATGGGCTTCTAATGAGTCATTATTTATATGTAGAATTTCAGTGATAACTTTCGGACGAGTCATGGTAAACTGAAGTTAGGTAAATAGCTCTCGGGTGTAATCTAAAATTCATTTAATGGTCAGAATAGCAAATGAATCCCCATTTTGAGACACAGAAAATCATCTCTTATTTTAAGAAATAAGTAATTCTATAAAAACATTTTACAATTTTCGCGGCAACTAAGAATATGTAACGTTCTTTAATCAGTCCCTGCGCTTAGCTGTCGGTAAGATGTTTTCGCCGTAAACTAAGGTTATACTAAGTTCTTTAAATAGTAAAATGAGACTAAATTGAACAAGTTTGCTTTGCAAGGCCCTCGAAAGCCATCTATTAAACTCTTTCGCATTGGTGCAGGCGAAAATCCATTTTACTCAAATATCTGAAACGTCCGTACGTACTTTTTTTTATTGGAATTCGTTTCCTTCTTCGTGCCAAGTAGAATGCTATAGCGCTTAACAATAACCTACTTAAGTGAAGCGATAACTTCTGTCTTGAGATCTTCGTATGGTTTCGCTACTGTGTTCAGTTCCCCTTAGAACAGGATGGCAAATGAAAGCATTGACAACTAAACAAAAGAGAGGGAAGATGCATTCAAATAACTGAACTGATTTTAGTCACTTCAAAGGAATCATTGGCATATCATTTAACAACTCTCGAAGGAAATGACCAATGCAATAACGTGATGGGGAAAAGCAGCAGGTAGAAAATGATTCACTGGGTGACCTGCCCATGTCTGAAGAGTCGGGCGTTTAGGACGACTATGATGTGAAGGAATTAAGAGAAGGGACAGCTTTTTTGAGGACCTAGCAGAGCAAAAAGGATCGTATTTACATCACACGTTGAAAAAATCAGAAGAGTGCCGGTGCTTTGTAGTAACGTCAAGCAAACCATTCTTGTGAAGATGTAACATAAATATGAAAAATAAATGCTTTAATTCTTTGATACAGAAGTAAATATTTAATCGCAGGATAAGGTAATAATTCGTAATTTAATAATTTGAGAAATGTTAAAATTTCCCCCATCCAAGAAACAGTTAAATCATTACTACCCATTATGCTTTTTTGAATTGCACTTCATTTTATTCGAACATTAAAATTTAATAGTGCATATCTAATAAAGCTATAACATGACACTTTTCTTACGTTCACAGTATCCTCCTTTCATGGCATTACCATGATAACAAGTACATACTTTCTTTCCGTCTATGATGCTGCAATCACCATTTTTGCAGTCGCATTCTAGAGAAAGAGGAAAAGTATTTTCACACAATGCATTTATATGTATTTACACTGCGGGGGAAAAAAGGGGTGGCAGTTCTATATCTCCCGTTTTACCGGGCCAATTGATGAAATTTAAATCGCGTTTTTCATGTCTCGAAAGCGTGACTTAGGCTATGTATTTGATTTATATATAGCACTGTTCTAATATAGGTATTTTGACATAAAATCGGATTTTTTCTGTAATAACATACCATTTTTTTTCCATATTTCAATTCTACGACTCAAATGACGCCAAGCTACCAAATTTTTTAAACATCGCACTAGTAATTAAGACACAATAACACGCCGAATAAATACTAATTCAGAAGTCAAACAACAAAAATCAGCGTTATACTCACAAAATTTTCACAGGACTAGTTTCGATGGTTTTACCGAACCATCATCTTCAGCTGCAAAACCGCAAATGAACAAGATAGGAAATAATGATTAGATAAGATAAGAAAGCCTGGACAAGAATAAGCAAGTGGCGCCATCTGTTGGTGAAAACCAGAACTAAAACATAATTTCTCTAAAAGGCCGAAGGCAAATTTGGATTGGAATTAGGATCGTTAACTAGAACAGAAAGATTTTTATGAATGTGAAATGCCTCTAGAAAATCCAGTTCTCCAATGGAAGATGTTTTTTGAATAATTTTGGCAGCAGAAAAATTGAAAGTGTGATTTTCGGACCAACAATGTTGAGCAACAGAAGACTTCTGTGTTTCCTTTTTTCTAACATATGCCTCATGTTCCTTGACGCGAAATTTTAAGGCTCTCTTAGTTTGGCCAATGTAAATTAAACCACACTGGCAAGGAATCCTATAAATACCCCAGGAATTCATATCCGGAATGGGGTCCTTGAGTATGGAACTCGGAATTTTATTGATGGGAGAATAAACAACCCGAAAGTTAAATTTCTGCAAAATATGTGCAACTTTATAGCTAATTGATGGAAAGAAGGGAATGACAACAGAATTTTTATAATCTCCTAAAACAAGAGTGGGCCTTTTAGTGTGTTGAGATGAGAATTTTTTAACTGCTTGATTAATAATGTTGGGTGAAAAGCCCCTGTCAATAGCTATTGCTTTTAAATAATTTAGTTCTTCATCAAGGGCTAGTTTGGAGGAGCAAACTTGAAGAGCACGGAAAACATAGGTATAAAATGAAGCTAACTTTTGTTTAGTCGGATGACATGATTTAAAGTGTGGTGGAAGGCAAACCGATGAAGGTTTAGGGTAAACCGTAGTACTGAAGTTGGATGTATTACGTGTGACCAGAATGTCGAGAAACGGAAGAGAATTGCAAGTCTACGGTTTACCGTAAACCTTCATCGGTTTGCCTTCCCCCACTTTAATCATGTCATCCGACTAAACAAAGTTAGCTCATTTTACCTACGTTTTCCGTGCTCTTCAGTTTGCTCCTCCAAAAAGCCCTTGATGAAGAACTAAATTATTAAAAAATAGCTATGACAGGGGCTTTTCACCAACATTATTAATCAAGCAGTTAAAAAATTCTCATCTCAACACACTAAAAGGCACACTCTTGTTTTAGGAGATTATAAAAATTCTGTTTGTCATTCCCTCTTTCCATCAATTAGAAGTTGCACAATTTGCAGAAATTTAAACTTTCGGGTGTTTATTCTCCCATCAATAAAATTCCGAATTCCATACCAGACCATTCGGGAATGATCCTGGGTTTATAGGATTCCTTGCCAGTGTGGTTTAATTTACATTGGTCAACTAGGAGCCTTAAAATTTCGCGTCAAGGAACATGGAGGCATATGTTAGAAAAAGGAAAAACAGAAGTCTTCTGTTTGCTCAATTTGTTGTTCGAAAACCACTTTCAATTTTCGCTGCCAAATTATTCAAAAAATCTTCCTTGAGAACTATTTCTAGAGGCTTTCACATTCATAAAATCTTTGTTCTAGTTAACGATCCTAATTCCAATCAAATTGCTTCGGCTTTAAGAAATTAGGTTTTAGTTCTGGTTTCACCAACAATGGCGCCACTTACTTATTCTTGTCCAGGTTTCTTTCTATCTAATCATTATTTCCTCTCTGTTCATTTGCGGTTTTCAGCTGAGGATGGGGTTCGGTAAAACCATCCAAACTAGTCCTGTAAAATTTTGTAAACATAACGCTGATTTTTGTTGTTTGACTTCTGAATTAGTATCGCCCTAGTAGTTTTTAAAAAATTAGCTCTCAAAATTTTAGCTCCTCAATGTTAATTGAGCTTGGAATATATTTATTAATCTCTCTTTTTTTATTAAACTTATGTGATTTTTCCTTTCACGTTTAGAAATTCAGGTTCATTCCAAATAAAATTCACCCACTTTTTATGGTTTATTTTTAAAATTTGTATTTTGATACAATTTTTCAAAAAAAATTTGCATTATAACCTATAAAGTTTTTACCATCATCTTAAAGTAGATTTATGTCTAAGCATACTTGTAAAAAATTACAGTTTTTTATTCAAAATGTCCGAAGATATACGTCAATTTATATATTGGCGCGTTTGGAAATTTGGCACATTTGTTGAAAGCGAAAAACCATCAAATGTGGTTTAGACGCTTTGCTTAAATTATTTCAAAGAAGGAATGTTATGTCTTTTTTTTTCCTCTCGTGCCATAATGTAAAAAGTTAGGAACGAGGTGCCTTTTTTTCCGGTACGGCGTAATGGAAGGGAAAGAAAAATTGGTTGCCATATATTAAGAAATTCTTCAAAAGAATTATTCTTGCCGCAAACTGAAAAAAATTGCGCTAAAATAAATTTTGTCAATTTCTTCGCAAATTTCGCACTAAATTTAACAAAATTTAATATCTAGGCATAATTTGAATCGTAGAACCGAAATATGGGAAAAATTTGGTATTTTATTTTAGAAAAGTTCGATTTTGTGTCAAAATACCTATGTTAGAACAATTCCATATATATATCTAATATATATCCTAAGTCGCGCTATCGAGACATGAAAAATACAATTTGAATTTTGTCAATCGGCCCAGTAGAACGGGAGATATAGAACTGTCCCATTTTTCTTTTGGGCAGTGTACATAAAAAAAATTGAGAAACTTCAAATTAGGATGATATACATTAAAAATGGATATCAATTAATTCACAACATATTATGCTTTGAATTAATTAAATAATCGGGAGAAAATAATTAAATCAAAATTAAACTATGTAAAATGGAAGCTTTCTAACGGGAAGAACTCATATTAAAACTTCAAAAAAAAATAAAAATTGAAAGAAAAAATTTAAATAAAACATAAAAAAACTGATATAAAATATATAAACATATATAAAACCTGACTGAAAAAGGTCAATAATTTTTTATATATTTTGTATCAATTTTATTATATTTTAAAATTTTATTGCATGGTTTTGTTTTGCTATGAGCATTTCCTCTTAGAATGTTGTTCCTTTTCATGCTAAATTCCTCTTTTGCATTCTCCAAGATATAGTTTACTAAACACTGCCCTAACTTTATCTCAATTCTTTAACTGCTTCAATTTTTTAATTTTTTTCACGTTACTCTACACCTTTCTATTTCGCCAATTTAAAAAAATTATTTTGGTAGTAAACACTACAAATTATTCAATTCTTTAACTAAAAACTTCAACTTTTCCATTCGTTTGACTGAAGGGAACTTTACTAGAGCCTAATTCTATGGCGTTACTTTTAGATATACTTTTGAGTCTCCTTTGTTTAATAATCTAGGTCAGGGATTCTTAACCCCGTGCTCGCAGGCGCCAAAGTGCCCGCGAAGCTATTTTTGTGCGGCCGCGACTGCAAAAAATCGCGTTAAATGCAACTATTTTGAATTTTTTGTTACCTTTTTAATGTAGGGTATTTATTGTTTATGTTGCTTATGATTGCAATAAAATAAAGAAATACGAGGGCTGTAAATTAAATAATGGCAGCATAGGTATAAATCAATTTTTAATGAACTTACAAGTACAACTGCATTACATTCCTTCTATGTAATCACCAGCAAAGCTTTTGCCAAATGTCGGGAAGCCCTTGTAGACCAGCGGCAAGGTGTTGATTGTTGATGTGAGCGACCGAGTGCCCTACTGTGTGGAGTACAGAAGAAACGTCATGAAATCGGTGACCTCGGAGGGGTTCCTTCAACTTCTGAAACAGATCGAAGTCACAAGGGACTTATGTCGGGACGTGAGTAGGGAGGGTGTTCCAGGATTTTTTCTGCCACGGCGTCGCAAATGGAGAGTGACATTGTTTGCGGCATGGTAACGAGCGTTGTTATGCAATACGATAGGGAGATTGTTATGCAATACGATAGGGAGATCGTTATGCAATAAACGTGGACGTTTGCGCCGCATAGCCGGACGCAGATGGTGCTGTAGAAATCGGCAATAGTAATCTGCGTTGACAGTTTGTCCTTCAGGTACAGCATGTGTAAGAATCACACCGTCCCAGTCGTATGCCATAATCAGCATAACCTTCACCCGACTGGGTTCCTGTCGAAATTTCTGAAGGCGTGGCGAACCTTGGTGACGCCATTCATTTGATTGATGTTTTAATTCAGGCTCATAGGCTCGTGCCCATGTCTCATCACTGGCAACAATATGCTGCAGAAATGCGTCTCCTTCATTTTGGTATCTCTCCGAAGTGGTGCCAGCCAGTGCATACCAGTGCCATTTCTGTACTTCGGTTAGTCGATGTGGAACTCAGCGGGAAGCAATTTTCCTCATGTTCAGAGATTTCTTTCTTATGCGCCACACCGTTTGGTGACTCAGACCAACCTCTAAGGATAATTCTCGGACTGTCCAATCGGCGGTCTATGGTAAGGAGACCGCTCAGGATGTCAATCTGCTTTTGAGGAATGGAGGGCCGACCTGTGCGTTGCAAATCCGCATTCCCATCCCGACCCGAACGAAATGCTACTGTCATATACTGTAAAGCATTTGTGCTACAGGCTTCCACTATTCCTCAATAGCATTCTGTTGCATTTTCGCCGCGG